AGCCCCAGGAGGGGAGGAGCAGCGGGACGGAAGAGATATCTACCTCGTACAAAAAGCAAACAAACTCATCAACCATTGTGCTCCTTCCTTCCTTAGACTTAGTGAAAATTTTATTTCTTGGCTAAGTAACGTTCTCAAGCACAATTACGCCATTGCGCGAAATCGTCTACACTCCTCTGTGCCCCAGCGCCCAATTTTGGAGAAAACCCCACCTTCCAAACTACATTTTTATGTGGAAATTTACCACGATTTTTATGGGCACATCTCGCCAGGGGTTAAATTCTGCTAATACAGAGACTCGTGGCAGGATAATATCTAATTCAAATTATAGCTGCCGATTTAAGGGAAAGACCGCAACAGTTCCCCTCATCGAGTCTTCTTAAACTACACGAAGATGTGCAGTTGGAAGGTTTCCTAGAAAGGACGGATGCTTCCAGCGAATACAAGTAGGATTTTGTTGTTCGATTATAGTACTATGTAACTGAGTTGCTTCAGAATGTTGTTCTCTTCAACATACATGCCTTTTTGAGCTATTCAGGGAATGGCTGCAATCGCTCAGACATTTATCTGATGAGGAGCTTTCAGAACTATTGAGAAGCAAAGAAATAGCTAAATACGATATCAAAATCGAGTCAGTCAATATGAGCGATGAAGCTCCAGGAAAAAGTCGACAGGTTCGCGTTTTAGGGCCCGTTGGTCGTCCTTGTAGCTGTACCACTCCGAATATTGCTTCCTTCCAAACCTCACAACTTTGAATGATGCCCGCTTCCCGCTCATCCTATCCACATTATGCTGAAATTGAATTTAGTTGTGCTGCGGTTAGCGTTGTGTGTTCATTGGTATGGGGCTACCTTGCACTTCCTTGAAGCTTTGCTTTTCGCATTATCGATGGGCTCAACTTCGAATTCGCCTAACAAGATAGTAGTAGCTTCGAGAATGATGAGGGAAGTTGGGGAAATGTAAGTGAGGCACGGTTCTCCTTGTAATCAACGTGAGATGGATGGCAAGAATGCCATGGCGGTAATGAAGGTGTTTTGGCAGCCTATCATTTTGTTGGCATGTTAAGTTGCTTTCATACTTCTAAGCGCGCCAACCGCTTTCTCAAAGGCATTGAATACGCCTATGCATATTGAGAATGAGTTTCAAGCAGTAAGGATTTTCATAGATAACGAAGTATTTATTTTGATTTTATGAATTTTCAACTAGTTTTGATGTGATCGAACAAAACATCTTAATTAATTCATGGCTTGTTTTAGAGTTTAGAGAAAGTGTTGGAGAAAACGTCAGTGTTGCGTCTGAAAGAAATGATGAGGGAGAGAATATCTGCCGCACATCGCAACCCACAAGCATTGGCGCGTCAAAAAGCAGTTAAAAATATGGAGG